AATGATGAGACTGCAATCACTTTGATGGTGGAATCTGCTGTGAGCAGCCAGGGACCTGCCTGTGGTGTGTGACCTGCTTCCAGTATACAAGGAGAAGCTTTGGGAATGGTCTTTAACTTTTTGGCACATCTGGATCCTGCATTTGGCCAAATCTTCATCTCAATGGCCTGCCATGTTGCCTGCCAATCTTGGGATTGCTCCTGGACTTGAACCAGTGGTCTGCTATGCTGTGCCTATTGATCTTGGGATTGTGCCTTCTACTTGTTGACCCTGGGTTTGTCAGCCTCAGCAGCCAACACCAGCCTGAGTTATGAAAAGCCTCCAGCTCTAGAGGGCCTGAAACAGGAGGCAAAGTTGAAGCCAGAGGTCAAAGGGCTTTACCCAGCTCCTAGAGCTAGCACATTTTTTTTTTTTAATTGTGATTTGGGTGAGAGTTTACAGAACAAATTCACTTTCCATGGAGCAACTCATATATACTTTGTCTCATGACATTGACTGCAATTTACCACAATGCAATAGCTCCCCTCCCACTTCCTCCCCATAGTTACTTCTTCCATGTATCCTTCCCTCCCATGCACTCCTGGCCCCCAAGATGTCTCCCCTGTACATACACAGCCCTTCTGTTCTCCCATGATTGCTCTCTCTAAGGAGTGTATCTACCTACTGTAAATGTTCAGCTCATATGCCTGTCTTTTGTTTGCCTGGAAGCTATGGAAGTGGGTTCAATTCCAGACCTGAAGAGCAGCTAGGGACCATAGTCTCAGTGGTTCCATCAGGCTCTATCAGACCAGCAAACCCGGTTACCCATTTTTTTTTTTTTTAATGATTCTGAGTTTTGTTTCATATTGTTCTCCCACTCTATCCAGGATCTCCTATATAAATCCCCCTGCAAGTGGTTGACAGTGGTAGCTGGACACCATCTAGTTCTGCTGGTCTCATAGTCGTATAGGCTAAGGATCGCATGGTATACCAGTCACTTGGACTAGTTGTTTCCATGAGCCTTTGGTTTTCTTCATTCTTCTTTACTCTGAATGAGGAGAGACCCATCATTGCATCTAAATGGCCGTTTGCAAGCTTTTAAGATCCCAGTCAGGAGCTCTGGTAGCATAGTGGCTAAAGCACTTGACTGCTAACCAGAAGGCTGGCGGTTCAAACCCACCAGCCACTCCTCGGAAGGAAGGCTGGGCAATCCTACTTCCGTAGTGATACTGCCTCGGCAACCCAAGGAGGGGTCGCTATGAGTCGGGGCCGACTCGACGGCACATAACAACAACAACAACAACAAGATCCCAGTCACTACTCACTAAAGTAGGATGTGGAACAATGTTTTTGTGTAGTATGTTACACCAATTGAGCTTGATGTCCCCTGTGGCTATGGTGTCAAGCTCATAGGTACAACTACTTGCTCCCTCTGGGTAGCTGGCTGTGGCCAAGAAGTGACTACAACCTTGTCCCTTATCAGCTCTACTAAATACCTGGGAATTCTTACAGAACATACAAATACACATGTAGAAAAATCGTCTGCGAACCCTATACATGGTCACGGGACACTCCCCGCTGCATAGACATACCTAATGGTTCAGCCTGCCACTCATCTATCTGCCTGTACATCAATGCTTTAGAGCTGGCACTTTGAATTCGGACTTTTAGCCTCCTAACTGTCAGAGAACAGATCCCTGTTTGTTAAAGGCATCCACCCGTGGTATGTCTGTTATAGCAGCACTAGAGACCCAAAGAAATAAATAATGTCTAAAACTGATCAACTAAAAAACAGCAGTAGAAGCATATTACTTAGGAAACAAGGGTATATATAGTAAATTGGAACTGACTTGATGGCAGCTCGTTTGTTTTGTTTTGTCTTTATCTTAAGTCATAGTTAAAAGTTGAAAGTGGCTGCCTCTGGGGCAGTAAATTTTTAAAAAGACAATAATTTACTTGAGGAGGAATTGTTTAAGAAAGAAAATATAATCGTAGTATACTACACTTAGCTTCATAATAAATAACATGGATATAATCATAATAACATAAACCTTAAAATTCACTTAGCCAAAAATTATGGAATATATATAATCACAATTTATATTTTTCTTTGATTTGTATCTGCCATTTTCACTCAACTGTTCCATGAGGGCAGTTATTTTTCCTAGTGTATATATAGGTACTCAATAAAACTTAATGAATGAATGAATGAGATAAAGAATTAACTAAGAGAGAGGGGCAGAGAGTAGGCAAAGATAAAAACTATACCTAGGTTTCCAACCTGTCTAACTGCACAGATGTTGGCCCATTATGTAAGAAATAAAGAAGAGGCAAAGGAGGAACAGATTTTATAGTGCAGGAGAGTGAATCAAGTTTCTGAGTAGTTTTAGTTAATTGTATCTATTTAGAGTAGTGGTTCTCTACCAGGGGCAATTTTAACCCCCAGGAAACAGTGAGGGTTGTCACAATTGATGAGGTGATATTGGCATCTAGTGGATGCTGCCAAACATTCTCCAGGATGCAGGACAGACCCCAACAACAAAGAATCACCCTAAAATGTCAGTACAAATTCTAATTTACAAGTTGTGTTCCTTGTGAAAACTGGCAGTAGTTGATATATTTGTGTCCTGAGACAGTCAAATCTTCACAAGACTCAAGCTATAATATAGGTTAAACACTTAAAAAGACAAGGAAATACAGTGGTACAACAAGCCCAAAATTAAGTAAGATAAGTAGTTATTTAGATTCACACACAGAGAAAGCAAGAGTGAGAGAGAATGGCAATGGCTTCAGGATTCCTAATGGCAATTTTATAATGAGGGCTCAAACTAGACCATGTGGGAATGCAGCAAAACATGGTCCCGTAATGAGAGATACTCTTTATAATAAGAAAAGCTGCACAATCAGCTGTTCCCTTACTCAGGTCCCCAAAGCATTGCCCAAACCATAAATAACAACACTGGAGATCAAGTTTGTCGCTAGAGTCAGCACACAGGTGAAATACTGAAATAACAGGTATTGCTCCTTTACCTCAGACAAATGAGACAACTGAGTATGAAGACATTCATATCTGCAGTGCAGAAACAAACTGGGACATATTTTAGGACTGTAAAGAAAAGAATCAGACAAATAAAAAACAAAACAGAAGTCCTGCCACACATCTCAGCTGGCACAAGGGCTTTCATCGAATATCTGTGCAGCCGAGGTCTATGGAAGACCCAGGGCCATCAGTGAGCAGGGAGGCAGAGGGCCAGGAGATGCAACCCCTCACATACATTTCAACTAGCACTGTCCTGCTATTTTCTTTGCCATGCTGTGCATGTGTTTCAGACCATCATTTAGATAACACACATTCAAAGCAGTGCATCAGCTACCATATTTGAGCAGGTTACCACTGCCTCTCTCCTACTGGGGTCAAAATTCACTGCACAAGAGATCTGGTTGCTATTCATGGACCATAGCAACCAGCCATGACTGGACCATTTCGAACCACTCCAAAGCCCTAAATCAATGTCACTGAAATGTTGTTGTTAGGTGCTGCCAAGTTCAGCTCCCACTCATAGCAACTCTATACACAACACAACAAAACACTACCCGGTCCTGTGCCATCCCCACAATCATTGCTACACTTGAGCTCATCATTGCACCCACTGTGTCACTGAATTTGTACATGTAGAAAATGTTGAATTGGTATATGATTTGCTGTGTATAGTCTCAACAACAACAAATGTGAAGTAAATTTTAAAAATAAATAAAACCTAAAAAAAAAAAATAAGTTTGTCATTGTTCCACATCTCACTGTGGCGAGTAGCGACTGGGATCTTAAAAGCTTGCAAATGGCCATCTAGACGCAACAATGGGTCCCTCCTTGTCCAGAGAAAACAAGAATGAATAAAACCAAAGAATCATTGAAACAATTAGTCCAAGCAACTGGTACACCATATGATCCTCAGCCTATACAACTATGAGACCAGAAGAACTAGATGGTGCCCAGCTACCAGTCAACCACTCAGAGGGGGATCTACATAGGAGCTCCTAGATAGAGTGGGAAAGCAATGTGGAACAAAACTCAAAACCATAAATAAAAGGGACCAGGTTTGCTGGTCTGATACAGCCTAGAGGAAACCCCTATGATTATGGGCCCTAACTGTCCTTCAGGTCTGGAATTGAACCCACTCCTGTGGCTTCTAGCCAAACAAAAGACAGGCATATGAGCTGAACATTTACATTAGGTAGATACACTTCTTGGAGAGATCAATCATGGGAGAACAGAAGGCTGTGTATACACAGGGAGACAGCTCAGGGGGCAGGAGTGCAGGAGGGAAGGACACAGGGAAGAGGTAGTTATGGGGAGGAAGTGAGAGGAGAGCTGGTGCATTGTGGGAAACTGCAGTCAATGTCATGAGACAAAGTGTATGTGAACTGCTGTACTGAAGATCAATTTGCTCTGTAAACTTTCACCCAAATCACAATAAAATTTAAAATAAATAAATAAGTTTTTCTAAAAACCTGATACACACTGCTATGGTCCAGCCCTTGTGCACAGTCAAGAAAGCTCAGGTCTGGTGAGCGAGAAGGGCAAAAACACAAAGATAAGCCAGCCTGGATGCCAGAACACCCAGCTCCACCACATACTGTTCCACCAGAAAACCCACCGGCAGAGTGTGGCATGGAGCCCATTCTCTAATGTGCAAATGCTCCAAGCATCCTTTGTGCAAAGACATATACAGCACTGGTTCTGCAAAGCATGCACAGGTGAGAGCCATGGGATGGGCCCCAGAGTTGCTACCAGAGACTGAATGTGTACCAGCAAGATATAAGACCCAAAGTAAAAGTGACCTCTTGAGTTTACATCTGACTGGTACTTAGCAATCAGATTCAGTATTTTAAGGGTATATCCATGACATGAAAAAATCCTGTTCATAAAACATATGCAAACATATTTGTCAACTTCTGGTAATGAAAGAACTTTCTAGAAGCTCCCTGGAGAAGAAGCATGCTTAAGAAGATGTACAACTTACCTCTTCAGAGCTCATGCTGGCTGAGGGCACCTTGTAGACCAAACAGTGAGAGGGGCCAGGCTGAGTCCCACCCTGAAGGGGTAAAGTCACCCGTCCAGACCTGGCATCTGGCCCAGGGCTCCAGACAGCCCAGCGAACCATGTGCATGCAGGCCAAGTTGGACAGCGAGGTAGCAGACGCTGCCTAAAAGTGAAACAGAGCACCTGGGCATGAATCATCATAAAGTCACTTGGGTAGTCAACTTTGCTTTCAGACTTGAAACTGACCTAGAGCTCAGTGTGAGTGACACAAAGGGTGTAAGGCTGGAGGCTTGAACCCACCGAGCAGTCCTGTGGAAAAAAGCCTGGCAGTCTTCCATAAAGATCACAGCCATGAAACCCCTACGGAGCAGAGTTCTTCTCTGTAACATGTGGGGTTGCCATTAGTCCTTCCATCAACTTGACGGCAACAGGTTTGCTTCCTATTTTTCAGTGTCACAAGCACAGGGGCTGTCAGTTCCTCTTGAGAAAAGAAGGAACTGAGGCAGAAGGACAGAGCACCCATCACACAGTCACCTCTCCTTCTGAGACCCCATCCCTAACTAGACTCCCTTCCCACCCAGACGCATCTCCTTCTTGGCCTCAGGCTGCAGTGGCTTCCCTCTTAAAGATGTTCATGGATGCTAAGGGAGCAGTGCCGTTTTTATGGCTCCCCTGCTCCTGTAAGGATCATCCTACCAGTGTGTAAACACTCTGTATGATTACATGAGGAAAATAACAGGAGCAGCACTTCGTGTTTGTGATCAGAAACTTTGTAAGAAAAAATGAAGAATACACAGAGATACTCAGTTTGGGGCTATGATTTCACATTTTCTTAAATGTGCATTTTATATGTACAACTTTGTATGTAATTATGCAATCAATCAGATGGAACTTCTTACAGCATTCCTCTCTCCACCTTCTCTATCATTGGCCAAATGAAAGGAACAACACTAAGACAACCCTCAGGATAAGCTTGCCACATTTAAAGTGAGACATTTTTACAAATAAGGTTTTAGGGCTCCACTCAGCAGAGCATTTTAAAGTTACCGCTTTCATCCATGTATTTAAAGAGAAGTAAGACTAAAGCTAAACTCGAGCCTTGATCCAGGGCTGAAATCCCCACCTAGCTCGGCGATGAGGTTTCTGCTTTACTGTCTCAGTCACGCACAAGGAGACTTCAGCAATGAGCTGCTTTAGAGCAAGCCCTGGCTGACAAGTGGGCAGGCGCCTTGGGAAGATGGAGTATAGGAGCATCACTTGGGAAGATGAATTCTCTGCCTGAGGCCCAGCGTTCATGCCACAACCATCAGGCCGGGGGCTGAGAAGGAGCAATTTCGACCCCAAAGGGCACTAGCCTGCATGAACCCTGAGAAGCTCAGCCCAAACTTTCTGCCAGGCAGATAAGCCAGCCAAAGGAAGCAGCAGCCAAGCCTGTCTCAGACCACGACCCCAAGACTCAGTGGTGATGCGAGGGAGAGAAGCAAACCAAAGGGAAGCAGTAAGCATTTACTGTCAAGTGGATTCTGACTCATGGTGGTCCCTGTGCGTCAGAATAGCGTGCTCCATGGGGTCTTCAGTGGCTGACTTTTCGAAAGCAGACTGTCAAGCCTGTCTAAGTCTAACATGTTGCCTCTGGGTGGATTCAAACTTCCAACCTTTAGGTTAGAGGCTAAGCACTCTCTGTCTGTGCCACCTTCGAGACCAAAGGCGGTTGTTGCTGTTAGTTGCTGTCGAGTCAACTTCCAACTCATGGCAACCCCGTGTGTGCAGAGTAGAACTGTGCCCCACAGGGTTTTCAGAGCTAGGTAAAGCAGTGGGTCAGCGAGAAAGGAGAAGCCCCTCAACGAGATGGACTGTGTGCTGCAGTGAATTATTTAATATGGCACTTCTACCCATAGTCTTTGTGACTCCCACCAAATGTAAGGTGCTTGTGGCCCACCAAAGGGATTGGATAGCTTGTTAATAATGTAAATAAAGTACATGGCACCCTTGTGGGAATGGGACCATGCAAATAAGATCTAGGGAAGCATCACATGGGGACTGGCCATCTTGCTAGGACAGTGCTCACAGGAACAGGCCTCAGCCCAGCCAGGGCTGCCCAGAGAGAGGGAGCCCATTCTTCGACACTTCTCCCATTTTGCCTCCCACCCAGAAGGGCACAGATATTTCTCTGCTGCCCATGAGGAAAGCATTAGGAAGTGGAATACTGTGCTCATGCCCCGTTCTCCCCACTCATTTTTACACCTACTGCCTTTGGTTTGAGGAGTTCCTGGGTAGCACAAATGGTTAAATGCTTGACTACTAGCTGGAAGGTTGGCAGTCCAAACCCACTTGGAAGCACCTCGAAAGAATAGCCTGGCGACTTGCTTCCGGACCATCTTGCCATCTTGCTAGGCTTAAAATGAGCCATCCCAGAAGCAGAAAGGGCATCTCACCACCATCAAGAAAGAAGAGCTAGAAATGGGGTGTATCCTTGGACTCAAGATACCTGTGCTAAGATGAGCAGAGATAGTGGCAGCAGAACCAAGAGACTGGCAGAGGCAGAGCAGCAGGCTTTTGGTCCATGGAGTAAGAAAGCTGAGTGACTTAGGGCAGGTGGCTTGCTGATGGAGTGGGGTACTGCTTTGGGCACCTATTAGAAAAGCTAAAAGAGTTTGTAACCTTGGACCAAGCAGGGTAGAGGCTGAGGCCAGAAGAGAAGCGTGCCCATGGCACAGCTGAGAAGAACTTGTCCTGCCTGAAAAACTATATCCTGAGTTGTTTTCTGATCCTGAATTATAACCTGTTACTTCCCTAATAAACCTCACAATCATGCATGAGTTCTGTGTGGCCATTACAATGAATTATTGAACTCAGCAGAGAAGTAGTAAGTGCCATGGTAGGAACGATTGGTGTCACAATTGGCAAAAAGGCTGGAGGGTGGTGGCATGTCTGATCTCTACCTCATAAGAATCAGCCTTGGATCAGAGCAATCAGCAAATTCTGTTGCTCTGGATTCCCCTTCCCCGGTGAAGACAGAAGAGGTCAGACAGTGCCTCCCACATGCCCTTTTTGCAGAATGACACATGGCTATGACGATGCACTCAAGCACAGCAATAATTCTGAGGATTGTGCAGGACCAGGCAGTGTTTCATTCTGTTGTATATAGGGTCATGATGAGTCAAAACCAACTCCAAAGCTCCTGGCAACAAAAAGCACTTTCTAGAAGTTGCCAGGCTATTCTTTCCAGGTGCTTCCAGGTGGGTTTGGACTGCCAACCTTCCAGCTAGTAGTCAAGCATTTAACCATTTGTGCTACCCAGGAACTCCTCAATCCAAAGGCAGTAGGTGTAAAAATGAGTGGGGAAAACGGAGCATGAGCAAAGTATTCCACTTCCTAATGCTTTCTTCATGGGCAGCAGAGAGACATCTGTGCCCTTCTGGGTGGGAGGCAAAATGGGAGAAGTGTCAAAGAATGGGGCTCCCTATCTCTGGGCAGCCCTAGCTGGGCTGAGGCCTGTTCCTGTAAGCACTGTCCTAGGACACTAACCCCGGCAGCTCTTCCCAGCTATATGCTATGGTCACCAGGAGGGGGCATGATCCTAAAGAAGGGGCCTCCCATGTCTGCTGGATGGGTGAACAACACCCCACACAGGGAAAGGAGGTGCCCCAGAGCACCTGCTCACTTGGGGTCCACCAGGAGCCAAAGAGGAAGGTGAAGTTCAATAGTGGTGGCCAAGGCTGGCCGGCCTTGTTTATTTGGCCAGACGCAGGTGAGAAGCCGTGCCCTTGTCACTGCCAGTACCAAGGAGAATCTCTACACATGCACAAAAGGATTGCTAGAATCTTGATCCAAATGGCACCAATGAGGTCTGGGATTTACTCAGCTTAACTCCCACCAAGTCCATGTGCAAGCAGATCCAAGTACACGGAGCTTGCTTCATCCAAGTTAGCCTACTCCAGACTCTGTCATGCTCATTCTATTCCATCTTGTTACAGCCTTCAAAGCCACAAAGGGAAAATTCAGAACCAGAGTCTAGTTTTGAATTAATGTCTCTTCCCAGAGTCCCCATTGTACCTGGTGTTATTGGACCTCAAACCATCCACTTCAGCATGGCCCTGTCGGATACTTTATTGGCACTCACAGGCTAAGTTATTGCCACATGCATGCCCCAATACACGGGCAAGCAGAGACTTGGGTCCCTGGCAACTCAGTGAGGAAAACACCCACATTCCTCTGTCTTGGAGGTACAAGTACTTAGAAAAGTAAGAAATCCAAGAACATTATTCTGTGCCACGCTTTCAACATTTGCCAAATTCAAAACAACGTCTGTCTTTCCCCCATCCAGTTAACTGGGTGACAGATTACAAAACAGTACTGAGCAAATTATAGTGTATCAATGAAAAGTTGATTATAAATCCATTGGTCTTTCAAAGTAAAACTACTATAAATTAGGGAAACTGGACACTAAAAGGAAAAAATAAAAAACTATCAGGATCCAATAATGTTGAGATTATTTTTAAAAAGACAAGATACAGAATACAAAATACAGAAGATTATTACAGGATCAAAAAAATAAAATATGTATCCAAGTATTCATGCTACTAATGCAATTCCTTTGGGTTTAATTTTTCCAATTAGGTGATTCCAATACCTAAACTTCCAAATCCAGAGTTGCTTTGGTTTTTTGGTTCTCGATCACCATGAATGTCTTCTATGTGGAGCATCTGTCAGTTACATAAATACCCATTTAAGTCACTTCTGTTTCAATAGCTCAAACAAGAGAGATGGTTAGTGAGTATTGATCACTCCTTCGCAAAGACTTCAATGGGGTCATTAAGGACTGCCAACAGCTCAATTGCCCACATATCAGCCTACATTCTCTCATGAGCAGCCTATGGTGGCCCCTGCAGAAGAGAACCTCCCTAACAGCCCACCCACTCCAGGGCAGTCCGGTACATCTAAGCAAGTGGCTGGCCCAAGAACAATTATTTAATTGGGCAGCATAAGGGTCCTCCCATAGTGACTTCAGGAGTCTGTGGCTGGTCCAAACAGTTATGTAACTGGCTATTAACGAAAAGGTCAGTGGCTCAAACACACCCCCAAGGTGCCTCAGAAGAAAGGCCTGGCAATCTACTTCCAAAGAATCAGTCATCGAAAACCCTGTGGAGTACAGTTCTACCT